CCACCCCCACCCCCTCCCGCCGCCGGCCACTACCGTATCAGTGGAAACGTAGCATGCGAGATCCGGGGCAGTACGCGTTGTCACCGGGTGCGTCGATCCGGCTATCGGAGTACGACTCGGGGCTGTTGTCGAACCTGAAGGAGGCGTTTGGTCAGCGGGTGTGGCTGTGGCTGTGGCCGGGGCTCGGGGATGGGTGTTGCAACAGATCCAAATGCGCCTCCGTGAGGGGCGAGGAGGAGGGAAGGGTGCCTAGCAAGGGTGGGCGGTGGATAGGTAAGCTGTTGTGTGTTATTTTGTCTTGGCGTGTTTGGTGTTGTCCCGCTTATTCTGGACGTTGGCCATTCCTCCTTTCGGTACTTTTGTTTGGACGCACAAGCGGGGGTCACAGAGGAGGAAGACCACACGGGATTCCTTGTTTCATATGCCTTTGACTGTGCTCGCCGACTTCTCGAGCCGACGCTTCCATCTTTCTGGGCAAAAAAAAACAAAAGAAACGATGGTGTGCGTATATACGTACACCGCTTTCATCTCCTCGTGTTCCCCGGGCCGGCGGGCCTAGGAGATGTGTCTATGTCTTCGTTGTTGTTGCTTTGCATCGACAGCGCTACTGCTGCGTTTCCTGTGTGCGTGTGCGGTGTCAACGATGTACATTTTCACAGGTGCCGCGAGAGCGAAGAAGCTCATGTCGCTGTTCGCGAAACGACGAAGGTCCGTCGGAAGCGGCGACGGCGACGGCGACGGCGGGGCCGATTGCGACCTGTCCCCCGTGTGCACCGAGGAGGAGGACGACAAGCTTAACGGCAGCGCCGGTGAAGATGGTTTGGCGTGCGGTCGCCGAAACAACGGCGGCGGCAGCAGTAGCGGCAGGAGAAGGAGAAGGGAGGGGCACGAAGCGGAAGGGTTTGGGCTGGGATTGGAGATGTCCGACGTTCAGTCGATGATCGACCACCGGGGCGGCCTTGAGCCAGCGTAGCGGGTGGCGGACTTCCTACTGCTTAGGAGAGTGTACGCCGCTAGGGGATGCACGCTGTGGGGTCGCTGGGCGAGCTCAATAGACGGGACTCGGTTTATTTTCAGGCATGAAACCTGCCTATACTAGTTTGGATGCCTTGCGTCACCGGGCTCAGTTAAACCTGATGTGTTTGCGTGTGGGTAAAAAATCGGTGCACATTGAGCACTGGGCACAATATGGGCGTCGTTGTTTGTGTATCCGAAAATAGGGGAGGGGTGGGACGTACTCACGTTTTTGCATGCCTTCGTTGTTAGACCATTGACCAGGGGGGTCAACCGGTATGTAGGCGTGATTTCTGCCTCGTCAATTGTACAGTACGGCAAGTAGCGCCCCACCAGGCGGTGGTGTCTGAGAAATATCTCAGTGAATGTGCAGTTTTATGTATGTCAGCGACTTGGGCGGAGTCTGTCTTCCTGCCCCGCAAGCATCCACCGATCGCTCCTGTCATTGTTGTTTTTTTGTCTTTGTATCTGTTCTGGGTGTTCTGGTTTATTCGAGCGAAGCGAGATTTCTAATCTTGCCTGAGAGGGCTCAGCGCAATATAGGGGCCGATGCAGGAAAAAAAGTGCGTGCGTGTGTTGTGTTCGCTTAAACTAGGTTTTAGAGTACAGGACTTGATTTGTGACTACAGGGCGCACTTTTTTTTTTTACACAGCAGAGCAGCAAACAGCAACAGCAGACAACACGCGCTCAGCGAGCAGACTGAACACACACGCACAGCAGACAACACGCGCTCAGCGGGCACAGCGACACACCAACAGCGCAGAGCGGACACAGCCACAGCGGCCTGCATGGCATGGCAATTGCATGATGAGTAGACGTCCGTTGGGGCCGATTGACCCGAACTCCCTCCGTGAGGCAGAGACGCACACAGACTCGCGGCGCAGACAAAGCCACGGGGAGAGGGAGCCCCTAGGCAGCCCACAGCTTGACCGGGCGAGAGCTGCTGCTCGTCAGAGGACTGCCGCCAGGCGTGCGGCGGAGACCGATGGAGCACGGGCAGAAAGGTGCGTTGCGTGTGCGTGCGTCTGGGCGGCGATTGCCGGAGAGG